GGTTTCTTCAATAAGAAAGGCAGATGAGCTTTCCCACTGCTACTAATATTTACTTCAAGCTTTAGTCACTTTCCAAATTCTGCTAGCATCCTGCTTTTATTCACTGTGCACGTACAATGTGCATAAGCTTTCTTAGACATACATAAGCTTTCTTAGACATATCTGCAGGGGTCCTTAATGTGAAAAAGGTTCACATTCAAGAATTCTTGAAAATTATTGCAGTATTCAAGGATGCCCATGCAATGATGTTACAGCTTTTTTTCCCCCGTCAGTTGCCTGTCATGTCACTTCTACTGAAAATTTTAAGAATCGCAAAAGCTGTGGAGTCAGATGCTCCATACTTCTGACTTGCATCTTTCCTTAGGCTTCCTGTATGATGCCAATACATTGAGGAGTTCCACATTATGCATCTTTGACTGCTAAACTGATATGCCTTAATACGGATTATTATATAAAGAATAAGTAGGCTGTTGTATATGGGATCTGGTGAGATTATGCTGTTGACAGATTAATTATTAATTTCCGCTGATAGTACAGTCCACAGCAATTAAGTAAATGGGCTTATTTAAAGCACCTGCATCTTATTTGTCTCAGCAAATGGCAGCACCTACTTGTCTGAGTTTGAAGCTAAGTGGGATTGGTCCTACTTACTACTTCTGTGGGAGACCTCCAGGGAAGTTGAAAAACATCCCAGAAGAAGCCAGTGACAAATTACTTCTGCACTCTGACCCCCAGAATTGTCATTGTAGTTAAGCTCAGTTCAAGGTTATTTTTATCCTTACCTTAACTTTACCTCCCCTTTACCAATTTGGAACATAGACTGAGATGGAGATTTTTAAAACTGAGACTTGCATAATTCTTGATTGTAGGCTTTTCTCCCTGTGGCTGAAGGCGAGTTCTGATACAAGGTATCTAATAAGAGCTTAACCACTGTTTTAGGTAATGTGATGGTGTTATAAATTAGAAATCCCTCTAGTGTTAGGAGAGCCACTAATTAAAATTCCTCTGATGCTTTTATCTGGCTAGCTTGGTGCTAGGACTTACTCCAAGACCTATGACTGCTCAGTTGACTTTTTAGTAAGGGACCTGGTACAATTTCAAGCAGCAAAAGTCAGCCAAGAAAGAGATTTGATCACTGAGTGAGGATAATGCTGGTGTGGCTTGTGTGCTTTTATAGTGCCATAATCAGTCATACGTGTTATTTCCCCTTTCCTTCCCAAATGAAAAAAGGTTTGGAAGCTGGCAAGAGTATCAAATTAGAATGCAATGCACAGTTCGGACATTTTTTCAGAATTACCTACAGAGAAGAGAAGGTTCTGCGGAATAATTTGAAATATAAGATCTTGGAAACCCAGAAGAATGGGGTGAAATTCTCCAACAGGTAATGTCAAAATCACAGGTCAGTTCTGTTCCTGCTTTTAGCCCTAAACAGCATCTTAAGCATGCTGCTTGGGAAATGAGTGAGAAATAAAAAAGGTAAATGTCATTGTAGTTCCTGGGAAAAAAGTGGAATGTTACTGTTCAATGTGAAATGTTGTGAGCATTTTGGCTTTTTTGTTTGTGTCCAGTGCATTGAAAGAGATTAATGAAGACTATATGAAGAGCAGAAAAGAATATGAAGAAATGCAAGATGTTGTAGTTAAAGAAATAATCAATGTTGCTTCAGGTAAGACTGTGTGCTTATATCTGAAATTGCCAGATATGTTAAGAGAATAATTCTACAGAAAGGGCAAACTAGATTAAAGCATTGAGCAGATAGAATCTTCAGCCATACACCCACATTAGAATCAGTAGGACTTCCAAAACATTTTGACTTGAAAGAACAAGCAGCAAAACCTTTATATAATTATCCTTCTGGAAATTTTCAAAATGTCCATGGGAACTTTTAATGCTTACCTTTTTTCCAAATTCATCTCTTCTATCATGAGCATATTAATATCCACTCTCCAGCAGAACTTCATTTGGTTCAACATTTGGTGTAACAAAAAGTAATATCAGTTATAGAGGTAACAAAAATGCTATTGAAGAAACAGAAGGCTTATAGAAGCTTCTTACTTTCTACTGAAACACACTGTCATTCTTAGTCTCCATGCCCACTAAATTGTATCCACTCTCCTTTTAAACTAAGAAAGAAAGAAAGAAAGAAAGAAAGAAAGAAAGAAAGAAAGAATTAAATTTGTTATGGCCACCCACTCCAGTAGACTCTGGTTGGCTTACAAAATCCAATACGTGGTTAAAAGAGTTAAAAATATAAAATAAAACAAAAGGTATAGATAGCCAAGAACATTTGCCAAAATTGGTCTAAAAACAACCAAAACAATAAAAACCCAACAGGGGCCTGACAAACACATTAACCCCAGGCCTGGGAGCAGAGTCAGGTTTTAAGGGCTTGCTGGAACTCCAGGATAGTGGGTGTCATCTATATCAGTGATGTCCCATTTTTTTTTCAAAGAAATTGAACCAATAGTGGATGATTTTGTTTCTAGAAGGAGAATATAGGCATCTCTGAATGTCTGCCTTCTATAAAATCACAGCATTGGCTAAAGGGGGTTTTAGCTCTATCAGGAATTGCCAGCTGGTGAGTTTTAAATCCTAATTTTGCCATTTTAAAAACAAACTTGCGTCATGTTTGCCATTGATATAACTGAATTTTGGCAAATGTTCTTGACTATCTGTACCTTTGCTCTGTACCTTTGCCCTTGTGTCTGTAAATGAATGATAAATCAAAGTACCTTTTGTGATCATTTCTTACAGGTAGAGCAGAAAAACCTTTTCCCTGGGTGGTAGGGAAGTGATGAATAAACAACATAAGCATGAGTAAGATTATGACACAAGCAAGTAGAATAGCTTGTAGCTTTTTCTTGCATAAGCTGTTCCAGATTGCATGAGTGCTCATGACTAGTGGTTGCCTAAACATTTGGTACATAATGTTCCAAGCATTAAGCAATACTTTAAATTCATTGGTCTAAATAGTAACTTCTAATTCTAGACATTGAATATATGTCAGAACAGATTTGTGGAGATTAACCAAATAGATTCAGTCCACAAAGGTAACAGATGCTTTGAATAAAGCAAGAATTTTTTAATGCTGCATTTGTCCATGTCTCTTTAAATGTACTGGGTAGTATAAACTTCTAGGGATTTTTTTTCCTAAAAAGGATTTAAGAGTTCATTTACACAATCAGTCTTCAGCCTTTTTGCTTGCTGTTTCCCTCATTCATTATAAAATGGAATAAAACATAATTAGATGCCACGATGCTTATTTATCAGTTTGTCCACTAAATGCTGGAAGCCTTCAGACAACCATGTCTTTAATATATGAATGTATTAAAAACTGTAGCTGCTTATTTGCTGAAAACAGATGTTCAGAGTAGGTCCTACTGAAAGCAAATAAAGAGATGACAGTTCCTTTAAAATCAAGGCAGCTAATTATAAAAATTACAGGTGGGTTTGCTGGTCCTTTCTCACACTGTTCTTCATTGTTGCTGCATTGTCTGCATGTGATAGAACACACTCATTGCTTAGCATATCATACGAAGTTTGGCTAAAGCATAGAAGGCATTTTAGCTTTACTTGCTCATAGGTGTATGAGGTGTACATAGCCATGTTTGTAGCTGTGTGTTAACATTTGTAGATGTGTTCAGCTAATCAACGTGGAGTGATCTTTCTTTGATTGATATTATGCCCAGACAGTGAGATTTCATGAATATCTGATTGCAAAAGTAAGAGCAACTTTATGACTTGTTTTGTGTGATTTTGTTGTTTTGTGTAATTAAATGGTAATATTTTATTATAACTGATTTTGTTTTCTGAATTGATTATTGTTAGCTGATAAAAAGCCCTTTGTGGTAGATTGATTACAGTGGTATCTTTACTGCCTTTCATTCCTAGCCTTTAGTGATTTAAAGCCAACGGATCTCACTTTTTGATATGGGGAGTGGAGGGGAAAGGCAAAGGCTCATTTACCCTCTGTTCTGTTTTTGTCTGAATATTGATTGAGTCTGAAGTACAGCAAGAATCCACTTTTGCCCATATAGAAATCTGTTTTTCAAATATTTTTCTTATCCAGAAAAAGAAAACTATACAATACATAAAAAATGAGAAATGAAAAACCACATGGTTCATTAGCATGTCTTCTGTAAAATATGTTTATATATATTTGGCATTTTTGTTTTTTAAATAACTATCAAGTTGCATTTTCTGCTTAAAAATGATACCCAAAGTGTACCTGCAAACTTTCAAAAAAACAATTTTCAACATTTTTGAAAGCAAAAAAGGTAAAATGAAACCAACATTGATTGTGTGTCATCAAGTAATTGTAGGCAGACAGACAGATATGCATAGTTAAATTCAATCAGTCACCATTTTGGAAATACCTTTACTGAGTGAATGTGCCAGGTCTTCACTTGTTGTTTAACAAGCAGCTGTCAGATGAGTCCTATTGGGAAGATCATTCTGTTGTATCAGTGTCCTCACACAGAGTCCAAGCTGTATGTTTTTATCTCTGAGAGGGAAGGGAAGAAGAGATTCCTCCAAGATACTCAAGTTTTACATGTCACTGGAAGAAACATGGTAGCCTCTGCAGTTGACCTGAGAGTATGTTGTCTGCAACTTTCTCTTTGAGAAGGTGAACTGAAATATTCTGTACTTGCTGCTGCTTATGAATATTCTTCAGTAGCAGCCCTATGTAGAACAGCCTGAGTTATATATATAGGAAGTGATGACCAAATGAAACCCTTACCTAAAGGAGGCCTAAGCCCTCCAAAAATATACATATTTACTGAAGCCACCAATATCCACCAGGTATTCAAAGCAACCTTGACTTTTATAGAGGTAAGCAATTGGGCTAATGGAGCATTGTGAATCTAACTTCTACATGAAGGAATAATGGAGCTGTTTCCCATGCCTATCTGCAGCAATCCAGTTTTGTTTTAATTTTAGTGGGAGAATGCTAGTAATTTTTGTGTGTCTACAAGTAATCCCCAGTTTAAGAACGAGTTCCGTTCCCAAGG